TGTTTTTAAGGCTTTTATTTTATTTTCGACAAAGTGGGTTTCAACAAACTGGGATTCGTAGTTTTTGATTCAGCAAAAGTTCAAAGTGAACTCGAAAATCTGGCAGTCGGCAACCTAGGATTCTACCATCTGGCGTAGAACCACCAAGAAGAAGCCGACACGAAAGTTTTCCTGTATGCAAATCAAGCTTTAATGAATAACAACCAAGGCATAGATAATCCGTTCTTTTTCTCGAGACATCGATATTACAGACAATTACACCTCGGCTTTATTTCGTAAAGGAAAACGTAGCTTCTGTAATCATAAAATGGGTTTGTTGAAACTTTCAGCAACTTCGGAGTTTTAGATGTTCTGTCACAAAAGTTGTCTGAGAACAAGAGTATGTCTCACTGCTGCTTGGAGTTAAAGAGAAAAGTGTAAAGCAAGCAAGTAACATGTTTAATAGAAAGTTTTGCAGAGACAAGATCACTGACATATCATTGTTGCCAACATGTTAGCAGAAATTCCCGTGGAAGTCCAAGAATTGTTCATACGATAAATACGAAGACTTTCAGATTGCAGTGATAAAAGCAATACCTTATGAAGATTATTGCTCAACATACTACACAGTTAAACACAAATATGTAGTAAATGAATTGATGCCTTCTTCATACATGAAAATTATGGTTGTTGTCTAGAATACCTTGTATAACACACAGAAATAATGAAAAACAACCGGATATTTGTAAGGAAGCTGGAATTTTTTAAAGATTCTGGTGATATTTTCCATTCTTCAAAACAGAAAAGGGCTAATATAAGGGGGCATTTTTACTTACATTTTCAAAAGTGAGTTAGCTTACACCCCTAAAATATGTTATTTTGGGTTTAAAAAGTCAACAACAGTTATTCCATTCATGTTTTGTAAATTAAACAAATTTATCTAGGGTATTGAAGCTGCTGTTTAGTTGTTATTTAATTTTGGCAGCCATTTTAAAAAGCGCCCTCAGTTGCCTCCCGAAATCTTCACATTAATAACTTTAGCTAGTTATACTTTACTCATATCATTACATATTCAAAAGTTGGTCAAACCTACCTCTTATTTACCCATATATATGTAGTTTAATGGATTTTGGCGGCCATTTTGAAAAAGCGCCCTCACGCGAAAGTTCTCAGGTTACACCCCTTTTACCTCACATATTCTGATTCGCCATAAAAAAAACTGGTCTAGAAAAACCATATGAGAATTTCTACCTCTCCAAGTGGCACCTATCTCAATTATAGCCTGGTCTAACTCAGAAACGATCGTGTGCCACTGTTTTGTCAAAATCAAATAAATAACAATCCCAGTAAAAGGGGGAAACCACTTAACTATGTTGACTGTGTGACAAAAGGGACATCAATCAACAATAAAATGACTTTTCAACGCTTAAGTTTGACAGACTCTTGTTTATAAGATGCCGTCTTCAGCAAAGTTTCATTCTGTTAAAACAAATTCTCTAGTCATCGTGTTACTCAATTGTGTCCCCCACCTACGGCGAGCCGAGATGGAATTTAATCGTAAATAGAGATATCTTAGTTTTAAACAGATAGATACTGTATCTGTTTTAGTGATATCTCTATTTCAAATAGAGATATCTCTATTTTCAATAGAGTTATATGTCCTACCGTAGAGACCGTACCGTCAAAAGCTCCCTAAATATCTGATACAGTAGCCCTTCTTTATATCTGCGCAATCAACTCCTTGGTTTGATCAACTGGGTATTTCTGACAGAGGGAACCTCAGATGCAAATACTAGCTAAGACCTGAAAAGGGATAGGCCTACATATGAACGAAATTTGGTTGTCTAAAGCTCTGTCCCGACTAATTTTACTATGTGACATACCAAATATGGTCATAAGGACATCACATCATAACAATTATAGGCACATCATGCTATATA